TTTATTTATTTTTTTCTTAGTTCTCGGCGGACACAACATCTTTGTTGGTATGTGGTGCTGCTGAGGATCGGACCCGGGCCGCACGCATGCTAGGCAAGCGCGCTACCGCTTGAGCCACATCCCAGCCCCATAGGCTGAGGCTCTTGAGGAATGGGACCACATCTCAGTCTGGGTGTCTTTGGCCCTAGTATAGCACGCATTGCTCAGTAGATGCTCAAATAATTCTGGAATAAGAGATGGAAAAAACTAGTTTGAAGGCTTTTTGAAAATGAGGAAAGTTAACGTTTTCATTATAGAACTAGATGTAATTCTATTACAAAAATAATTCTTCATCACTCTACAACATAATTACCTTTAGCATTTTGGTATATTCCATTCTTTTCCTCCATCTGTATTTTTAATTATGATTTTATATATATGTGTAATGTCTGCACATGTGTATATATCTGCATACATACATATGCATATACAAATGATAGTTAATTTACCATTACATCATAAGCATTTCTCTTTAATGCTAAGTGATTTTCATACTGACTATTTGTAATCACTGCAAGTGTTAGGCTAGAAAAATTTTGATGTTCAAACCTGAGGTAAGAAAAACATCATCTTTTAAAAATGGAGTCAGTGGTTGTTTTCAGTCAGCTTTTTTACTGCTGTGACCAAAAGACCTGACAAGAACTATTAGAGGAAAAGTTTACTTGCAGGCTCACAGTTTCTAAGGCCTCAGTCCACAGCCGCTCCATTCCTCAGGGCTTGAGGTGAGGCAGATATCAAGGTGGAAGAGTGCTGTGGAGAAGAGTAATTCACATGATGACCAGGAAGCAGAGAGAGGCTCCACTAGCCAGATACAAAATATATACCCTAAAGGCACACCCCCCAATGACCCACCTCTTCCAGCCTTTAGTTACCTGCCTTTAGTTACCACTCAGTTAATGCCATCAGGGGATTAATTCACTGATTGGGTTAAGGCTTTCAACCCAAACATTTCACCTCTAAGCCTTCTCACACAGGACCTAGGGGACACCTCACATACAAATCATACCAGTGGATTAAAAAAAAAAGGATGGTAATTTTGAAACATCTCAAAGGAATTGATTGTTCCCCTTTGAAAAATATTTTCACATTAGCTGATCCAGGGTCTGCATAGTGAAAAAAAAAAAAAAGTGGTGGTGGGGGTGTGTTGTCATTTTTTGTAATCTTCGTCATTTATTTCTGAGTTCAGAGAGCATCTACCAAGTGCCTGGTGGAATCAGTGTGGATCGAGCAGGGGCCTGGCAGGTAGAAATAAAGTCTTGGGAAGCTTATGTTCTGAGTCGATGGGTGGGTGGGTAAAGGGAGATAGAGACAAATTGACATTAAAAAGCCCCACTCTCACAACAGTAAGTGTTCTACAGAATGTTAATATAGGGCTGCTGATCACTGAGCACTTTCTGTGTTCTGAGAGGGGCTGTGTGTCTGCAGTCTCATTCTCACAGTCGGCCTACATGGTAAAAATGTCTGACCCATTTATAGTAATGTTCAAATGTGAAAATGAAGGGTTAACAGAGAGTAGGTAACTTGCCCAAGGTCACAAAGTTAATAGATTGTGGTTAGAATTAGAATCTGGTTCTGACTCTCAAATCCTGGTTTAGTTTGAAAGTTTTCCCAACCGTTATGCTACTTGGAAACTACTTATAGAAGAATATCTCACATGAGTTAGGTTGGGGTCAGGGAATCTGGATTTTAGAAGCTTCTAGGTGATTTGAAGCCTGACTAGGCTTAGGAGCCACTGTCTTACAATACAACACTCAGGAAGAATTTGCCTTTATTTTTCTGATTCTAGTTCACATCTACACTGACTGTTTGACTTGCGCATGTAACTTAAAGCTGGATCTCTCTACTTGACTAATTTCCAGCACCACATGCTAACTCCTGATGCTTCTCCCCTTCCCAAATATATTCTTTCTCCTCTGTTGTGAGTTGGCATCACTGTCCCTCACCTAGTTCTCTTGAACTTGCAGATTCTGTCTTTTAACTCTTCCTCCAATTACCCCACATTCCACTCCCCATGCCTGGCTTGAGCTCTCGTTATCTGTCTCCCACATGATCATACAACCCTCCCACCTGGCCTTTCTGCCTCTTCGGTGGGTCTCCTCAGACCCACTCTCACAACAGCTGTCAGAGTGTTCCATCTGAAAGGTGAAATTGATGGGGTGGCCTGTGTTTAAATGTTTCTTTGCCTTCCCATGGCCAGTCTGCAGGCCAGATGCCAGGCCTCCCAGCAAAGCTTTGCAATCTTGTCGGTCTCTCTCATACTTTGAGACATTCCTGGGACACACACACTGCTCTGGCCTGTGCCTTTTGTCCCGAATATGCTTTCTTCACTCTTTTCCCTGGTTCGTGCTGTATCTTAAGTGTAAGTGCAGGTTTCCCTTCCTTCAGGAATATTCCTTTGGTCTCTGCTCCTTTTGAAGAATTTCTCCTTTGTGACACATGATTTCTTGTGTGCACCCATATTCCTTTATTTTCCTTCTCACACTTATATTTACTTATATCCCTCATGCGGCTCTGAGCTCATGAGCTCATTTCTTGCTCATCTTTTTGGCACATAGTATGTGCTTGAATGTTTGAATAAATGTTGCTTACAAAACTAGGTTTAATGATGTCTGTCTTTTTTTTTTTATTTCTAAGTGAATAACAGGCTGCTGTGTTGTCTTATGGACTTCATTTCCCCTCCTTGCCCAGTGTAAATCTCTTGGGCAGTCATGTTGCCCCCATCTTCACTTATCACTGATACCAGTTCCTTGCTTCATCTTACTCTCCAGGCTAAAGAAACCCAGGTCAGATGCTTTCCCTGTTCCAGGCCTGGTAAGTGCATGTGGGTATGGTTGGCAGGAGCAGTGCTCTGCTGGCTTTCACTTTAAATTCAGATCAGAAACCTCAGAGGGGTTCTTTTTTCCATACCTTTTTTATTGGTGAATTATAATTATGCATTAATGGTGGGATTCGTTGTTACATCAAGGGGGGCCTTGACTCCTGGACAGTCATACTCTGCTTCCTGTCTTGCTCTGCTAACTGACTCTTTCATGATTTTGCTCTCAAGCCTCCAGTCTTTCTTTCTCTATTCTCACCCTTAGCCAAGGACATTTCTGCTTTCACAGGGGAGACTGAAGCTATCTGAAGAGAATTTCCACCCACCCCCACCCCTGCCCCACTGCCTCTAACCACACTAGTGTCTGGTGGACCACCATCTCTGCCTTTCTTCCTGAGGTTGTAGTTGAATGTCCTTTTTAGGGCCAGTGACCTCTCTGTGTCTCAGATCCTGCCCACTCTCACCTACTCAGTGACATTGTCCCTGCATTGCTGCTTTTCTGCCCTTCTTCCCAATCATTTCCATCAGCATATAAACTTGCTGTTACTTCTCCCATCTTTTCAAAACAAGAAATACAAACCTAAGTGCTTGGTTGTAGGTCTGTAGCAGGGAAAGCATTAAATGACCCTGGAATATCTTGCCATACCAGATAGCAAGGAAGCTTTCAAAGATGACCAGGGTTGTGTCAGATCAGAGGCCACTAGCAAAAAATGGCTCGATTTGAACATCAATAATAATAATTTCAATAGATTAAAGTATGTCAAATATGTTTAATTCATGAGTTTACAGCAACAAAATGAACCTAGGTATCTTTGGAGAACCAGCTTTTTATTTCAAAATAGGGATGGAGAAGCAAAATGTATCCTGCCTGTCCTATTCAGACAGTTGATATACAAAATGAGTAGCCATTTCTCTTTATAGAATGTTCTTAACAAATGCAAAAAGAATAATAATGAACTGGGGATTTGGGCACTAAGCACCAGTGGCTTCTCATGTCATAAAAACGGAGTCTACCAGACACAGCATACCTCTTGATAAAAAACACACTGCTATCTCTGAAATAGTCCCATTAAAAAAAGACAAAAACAACAACAAAAAACCCAAATTTATAGGAGATGCAGAGGACAGAGTCCAAACAAATGATGCTGTCTGCAAAATTCAGACTACGGGAAACTACAGGAAAAGTGATCTGTTTCTTCCTTAAACTGCAAGGGAAAAAAGGATGAAAAGGAAGCTAATATTCAGAAGATAGACTCAAGATGTCCTCCACACCTCTCTTCCCAACCAGGCAGAAAAGAAAAAAACCATGGACAAAGTTGTAACATGTAGGGAAAGACACTTGGGTGATAAAACCTGAGTCAACAGTAAAAGACAGGGGCTCGGGATGTGGCTCAAGCAGTAGCGCGCTCGCCTGGCATGGTTTGATCCTCAGCAGCACATACAAACAATGATGTTGTGTCTGCCGAAAACTAAAAAATAAAAATATTCTCTCTCAAAAAAAAAAAAAAAACAACAACAACAAAAATAAAAAACAGTAAAAGACAGATTCCGAGGAAAGCTGGTGTGGCACTGAAGGGTGGGCCGCATTTGGGAGCTGGCCAGACCGGTGTTTGAGGGTGGTTTTAGCAATGTGCAAGCTACTGGCATCCTTTACTTAGACCACTGGGGGGGTCTTCACTGATTTTCTTGCTACTGGCCTTGCTACTGCCAGATATTCTGTTAAACCCAAGACACACCATTTGTACCTCTGCTCAGCACTCTCCAGTGGCTTTCTGTCTCACTCAGTGAAAATCAAAGTCTTTTTAAAAAAGTTTTTTTGGGGGTACCTAGGATTGGACTCAGGCACTCAACCACTGAGCCACATCCCTAGTCCTATTTTATATTTTATTTAGAGACAGAGTCTCACCGATTAGCTTAGTGCCTCGCTTTGGCTGAGGCTGGCTTTGAACTTGGGATCCTCCTACCTCAGCCTCCTGAGCAGCTGGGGTTACAGGCCTGTGCTACTGCTCTGAGCTGAGAAAACTGAAGTCTTTTTGAAACATGGTTAATGAGGCCATACATGGTTGTCCACCTTCCCCATGACTTCTCTGACCTCATCTCCTCCGACTTTGTCCCTTGTTACTTTGTTCCAGCCATACTGATCTCCTTGCTTGCCTGCACACTCTTGAGTTTTTGCACTCGTTCTTCCACCTGCCAGAAATGTTCTTCCCCCTGATATGCTCTTGATTATCCCCACACACCTTCAGGTCTTCCCAGATCACCTCAGTCAGGCATTTCCTCTACCCAATCTAGAATTCCACACCTGCCTCCCTTACTTCCTGACATTTCATGTCTCTTCTGGCTTTGTTTTTTCCTTATCTTATATCAACAACAAACAGATATTATACCTTAAAATAACCATAGTGCTTATCTCCTTACTTGAATGTAAGCTCTGTGAGGGTAGGATTTTTGTTATCTAGCTTATGGTAGCACTTAGCTATTTGTAGAACTCTCTCAGGATGTTATGGGAAATAGTCAACTGACATTCAGATCCTATTCAAACTTCTGGAATACCTAGTTGGGCAGAAGTAGCCTCCAAAACCCTCAAGACAGGCATTAGAGGAACTGTTAAAATGGATACAGAAGTGATGTTGAAAAGACTAGATCATTCTATTATTGCCAAGAGAGTTGGGCATGGTGACACATGCCTGTAGTCCTAGCTCCTTCCAGGCTGAGACAGGAGGATGGCTTGAGGCCAGCTTTGACAACATAGTGAGAGAATGAAAGAAAAAGAAATCCAGAGAGAAAATCCTAAGTCAAACCAGGAGGAGTCTGTCTATGGTTTGCATAATTGGAAGAAAAGAAAACTATTACTGAATCCTGCTCCTCAGGTAGCTCACTCTCTAGCCAAGTGTAGTAGTTCTAGGCTGGTGCAATCTAATAGCATGAAAATTTTCATTGTATCATGCTCTAGGACTACAAATATCAAATGTTATGTGTCAAGATAAGAAATCCTGGGTAAAAGCCACCACTGAAGTGGTGCTGAACATTGCTGGTCTGGAACCTAAACTGAAATCTTAAACAGAAAAAGGTGCAAATTAGAAATACTTTCATGAAAGAATGAAACATTTTTAAATTTCAGAATTGCAGGGGCCAAAACTAAACAGGATTTTCATTTCTGTAGATGGCGTTGTATTAGGGCTGTTGTTATTTCACTTCAAGGGTAACTACAGTTCAGGTTTTCTCTTTCATTGAATAAAAAAATTAGATCTTACAGTTCATTGTCAATACACCCCCCCCACACACAAAAAAGAACAATAATAAAATACTGCACCTTAATTTTCTATACCATATCTAGTAACTTAGCAGTTAACACAAGCTGGCATTTTAACTTAGATTGCTTTACTACTATACAGTAATTCTTTTTTTTTTTTTTTTAAAGAGAGAGAGAAATAATTTTTAATATTTATTTATTTATTTTTTTAGTTTTCGGCGGACACAACATCTTTGTTTGTATGTGGTGCTGAGGATCAAACCCAGGCCGCACGCATGCCAGGCGAGCACGCTACCGCTTGAGCCACATTCCCAACCCCCTAGTAAAAAATATTTTTTTTTTTTTTTTTTTTTTTTTTTTTTTTTTTTTTTTTTTTTTTTTTTTTTTTTTTTTTTAAGAGAGAGTGAGAGAGAGGGGGGCACAGAGAGAGAGAGAGAGAATTTTAACATTTATTTATTTTTTCTTAATTCTCGGCGGACACAACATCATTGTTGGTATGTGGTGCTGCTGGGGATCGAACCCGGGCCGCACGCATGCTAGGCGAGCGCGCTACCGCTTGAGCCACATCCCCAGCCCCCTACAGTAATTCTTAAATTTAAGAATTTTCAATAATTGAAGATGCTTATGTAAATACATGCGGGTTGGCTGCTTTAAACAACATTAAGAAAGATGGACTGGGGTTTCTCAGTATCACTTTTGTGTTGTTTTAAAAAGTTTAACCTCACAAAACAGCCTTTCCCCATTTTTGGGATCTTGTCATCTTTGTAATAATATTCTGCTCCCAGACTTTTCATTTTTGGATTATATTTTACCATGAGGTCTGCTATCCTGAGTTCATGAAGCAGAAGAAACCTATGAAGGGTGAGCTAGCTGTGTTTGCAGCATTCAAAAACATCAGCTTTCTTTTCACTTGGTGACTCTGTAATTTATAGGCATAACTTCAGCAACAGCAGTTGTGTCATAGGGGCAAGTCAAAGGTTTACTTTTACCAGTTGGCAGTGCAAAAGGAGCAACCAGTTGCTGTTCTGATCCATTGCAACGCTCCACAAAGGGTGTGGTATTCTGCACATCAGGTGGAATATTTATAGTGTTCTATGTTTTAACTTGACCCTTTCTTTCCTTCCTACAGTTGTACTGATATACACCTTGCTTTCTCTTTATCTCATATTATAGGTGCTCATGTGACTATCACGGATCGAAAAGTAGCACTAGAATTTCTTAAATCCAATGTTCAAGCCAACTTACCTCCCCATATCCAACCCAAAGCTGTTGTTAAGGAGCTGACTTGGGGACACAATTTGGGGAATTTTTCACCTGGAGAATTTGACCTGATACTTGGAGCTGACATCATATATTTAGAAGAGACATTCACAGATCTTCTTCAAACACTGGAACATCTCTCTAGCAACCACTCAGTGATACTTTTAGCTTGCCGAATTCGCTATGAACGAGATAACAACTTCTTAGTGATGCTGGAGAAGCGATTTACTGTGAGTAAGGCTCACTATGATCCTGAAAAAGATGTACATATTTACAAAGCACAGAAAAGAAACCCACGGGATGACTTATAGTTGGCTACGCTTATAAGAATATTGTCATTGAGTGTGTCAGTTAAGGTCTTAGACTGGGAATCTAACCATACTTAAATGAAATGGTTGTTGTACACATCTCTCTAACCAAAGGTTGTCAAGGGACAAAGCACATAAGCAGTGTTTTGTTCTATTGCTGTGAGTTTAGTCCTATCTTACTCTGAAATTCCATCAACATTAAAGGAGAGTGTGAGATTGTCATTTATGCTGTTTCTGTCTCCTGCATTGCTCCCTCTTGGTGAAGGGCTGGTATAAAGGTGACTTTAAACCAGCTGAGTTGTTTTTGGCAAGGTTAAATCATGTAGCTTATTTTAAACACATTTGGAGATTCATAATGTTTATTCTAGTTTTGTAATTTTTTGAGGTTTAACATACATTTCCTGGACTATTGTTGCTGTTGAAATCTTGTCCATTTAGATTCTAAGCACTTTTTTGTCTGTTTGAAATTAAGTTGTGAGTTTTCTGCGTGGTCTCATATCTTGCTTTTTAGTTTAGTTTCAGGCTTAGGAGTGTAAACAAAGGAATAAATAAAAATAAAATCTTATTTATTTTTTGGAAGTACCTAAAGTCTTGAAAAATGTGGAGAAGTTGTCTTCTCCGAATTGAAAGCTGTGGCTCCCCTTCACCTTTGCCATTTCTCATGCTTTTGTTTATTTATTTCCTAAGCTTTCCCTTTTCCTTGTGCTCTTATAATGCATAGGATGAAAGGTTAAAAGAAAAAAAAGTTTTAAATCTCATCCCTCCACAAGAAGGTAGCTTCTGTCTTGTACCTGCAATTGCTCATTCAATGAGTATTCCCTGCAAGGTGACAGCTTCTGGAGGGTCAGAAATATTTCTGCTTCTTTCATTGTTGCTTCCTCAGTATCTAGTATGTCACAGCCAAATTAAGAGTATTGATCTTTGGATTATGTGTTTGCTACATTTGTTTTATGATTATCTTTGATAGACTTTATGGATGAAGTCACCATACATGAACTTTTGGCTTAAACAAATTTAGACCACAAGACTATTATAATCTCAATATGGTATTTGGCACCGGAGGTAAATTCATTTTACAAAATATTATCAATCAGACCTCCTTCTTTTTAACCTTTTGATGAATATTTAGATATGAAAATACCCAAGAATATATTAGTATCTACATATATTTAAAATAAAGATTTTGCTTTAATAAAAGTGAATTCAAAGTTGTGGGTATTCTGTGATATACCAGTTCAACACAATTCTGATAAATACACATGAATAAAAATGTCCTAGCTCACTGAGTCTATAAGATGCTAACATACCATGAACAGGGATGCTCTCATTAAACAAATTTAAAGCCTGGCAATATCACCAATACTATAATGAAAACCCAATCTCATTTAGGTTTGATATTAGAAATGAATATATTGCAGTTCAGTTCCTTTAAGCTCTTTGGCATTGGAGGTAGGTATTACAGTGGTAGGGGTAGGGAGCTTCAGGAAGTCCATACATTCCCTGGACTATTAATGCTGTATCAGAAAGGTACTTGGATGCTGTCCTAAGTGAGAAAGTGAGGTAAGATGTCATTGAATTATATATTACATTTTCATAAAATATTAACATGAGAATCAGAAAAGGTTGAAAAATCCCCTAACCTGCTCTACAAAGAGAACATGGAAGAAAAAAAAATCAGCAGGAATAGTTTGATTGTCTGAGTGAAAATCAAGTGACTTTTCTTGGCTTTGGGTTTGAAATGTCATTGTAGGACAGGTTCCTTGGGGAAACAGACTGAGAGATGGAGATTAGGCTGTAGAAAGTTTAAATGGGAAGGCTCCCAAGATAAAGAAGCCATGATTGGGATAGAGGGAGCATTTGGGCTGTGATGCAGTCAGGAAAGTCCTTAGCTCCTTCTTCAGAGCTGCAGTAGCCCTGCAGTTAGACCATATTGAGGCAAGGTGATGGGCCTTCATGCCCTAGTGTGGATTAGTTTGAATGGAAGGGGTACAACCCTGGGCTAAAGACAGTACTACTAGAGGGACAAAGTTGAGCCATCAGCCACCAACATCCCAAAAAGCCAGGGAAATGAGTCCTTTAGAGGTATATGTAGGAATGGAGGGAGGGAAAATGAATGAGTAGCATACTACAGTGTCCCACAAATGAAATTATGACATACCTTTTACTGTGTTAAAAGTATTCATTTATCTGATAAATGTACACTATAAGTGTGCTTGTTTTTGTCCTCAAGTTAAAGATAAAAACCTAGTCCAAACCTATTTTATTAATAAACTTTGACTCTTGCATTGCTTAATTTCTTTTTTTTTTTAATTTTTTAATTTTTTTATTTATTTATTTTTTTTTATTGTTGGTCGTTCAAAACATTACATAGTTCTTAATACATCATATTTCACAGTTTGATTCAAGCGGGTTATGAACTCCCAACTTTACCCCGTATACAGATTGCTGTACCCCAGCTTAATTTCTTTAAACATTTGTGCTGTTAGGTAATCCAGTGTGTATCAGTAACTTTCCCCCCAATTAATGTCATATACTGCTGCCCAGATGCTATGTTAAAACATATTTATGGCACCAGATTCTTAGCACTCCACTGGAATGAATGCTGTTGTTTGTCTAAGCAGATTCCCTCTTAAGGATAGCTTGATTTAGTTATAACAGAGCTAGCCAGAGCCTTGCTATACCATTTGCAGGAAGTTTTTTCACACAAAAGGATTAAAATTCTAGCCCATCAAAATACTTTCTCTAAACTGAACACTAGATTTTTTTTCTTTTTAGGGCAAAATAATGTTTTCTGGAATGTTTTATCTTAGCAAATACAATTTATGGTCCCAGAAGACCAAGATGATGATACTGTGTACTTTGTATTTCAAGTGTTAACATAGTGCCCTGTTCATAAAGGGAATCCCATAAACGTGCATGGAAAATAGATTCCTTCACAGTTAACTTATTAAATTACCCAATCTCTGTGCTTTATTTCTCCTTGCCCAAAGGAAGAGAAGTGGATTCTTGGGAATATTAAAATAACAAAGCATATGCTTTTAAAAAATTTTTAATTAGTTATACATGACAGTAGAATGCATTTTGATACATAAATGGAGTGTAATTTCTTATTCTTCTAGTTGTACAAGAGGTGGAATTATACCGGTTGTATAGTCATATATGTATATAGGGTAATAATGCCCAGATTCATTCTACTATCCTCCTTACCCCCATACCCCTCCCCTTCACTCCCTTCTACCTTCTATCCGAAGTACCTCTATTCTTCCCTAGCTCCCCCCTCCCCACATATTGTGAATTAGTATCTGCATATCATGATGAGAAAACATTCAGCCTTTGGTTTTTGGAATTGGCTTATTTTGCTTAGCATGATGTTCTCCAGCTCCATTGATTTACTTGCAAATGCCATAATTTTATTCTTCTTTAAGGCTAATATTGCATTGTGTATAATACCACATTTTCTTTATCTATTCATCTGTTGAAGGACACCTAGGATGGTTCTATAGTTTAGCTATTGTGAGACAAAACATACACTTAATAACAAAATTACATGAATTTTTATGTGAGTTAAAAAATTATTGGTGCAGGGCTGGGGATACAGCTCAGTTACTTGAGTGCTTGCCTTGCATGCACAAGGCCCCGCACAATCCCCAGCACTGCCCCCCGCCACACACACACACACACACACACACACACACAAAATATATAAATCAGTGCAATATAATAGGGGGATTTGTTATACCATATTAATACATGCATATCATTTGATCTATTTCCCAGTACCATTACTTTCCCTCCCTCATCCACTTGCTCTGCTTATCTTTTATTATTACAATTAGTGCATTTACATTATATACAAATATATAAAAGCAGGATTCATTGTGGCATATTCATACATGTACATAGCAGATTTTGTTCGCTTTCATTCCCCAGTACTTCTCTATGTCCTCTCCCTGCTCTATTGGCAAAATCACATGAATTTGTATCTTAATTTTTCCTTTTTAGGATACTGGGGATTGAACCCAGGGCTTGCTACATGCTATGCAAGCACTCTACCACACAGCTACAACCCTGGCACTGCCCCAGCTTTTGAGACAGGGTCTTACTACATTACCCAGGCTGAATGTGAACTTGTGATCCTCCTGCTTTAGTCTTTTGGTAGCTGGGATTATAGGCCTGTGCCAGCCATAGTACATGGCTACACTATGGTGTTTTTTTCCCCCAGTACTGGGGACTGAACGCAGAGGTATTCTACAAACTTATGTACGTTCCCCACCATTTTTGATTCTTTGAGACAGGGTCTTACTAAATTGCCTAGGCTCCTGCCTCAGCTTTCCGAATTGCTGGGATTATAGGTGGATACCACTGCATTAGGCATACACAGTTAAGTGTTTTACAAGTGTAAGTATTACTTTTAAAAAGTTGTTAAAAAATGATAAAAAAACAATATCCTTTGTTATTATCAAGAAAGGATATTATCAATTTGGCAGAATTGGAGAAAATATTATAAGGGTCTAATATACAGAATATATAAGAAATTCTAATAATAACTCAGTTAAAAAACAAGCAAAGGACTTAAATAGGCATTTCCCCAAAGATATGTAAACAAACAAAAACATGCTAAAACATGCTAAAAACATCACTAGTCATTAGGGAAATGCAAATAAAAACCATGAGTCCATTCACATGAGAGTGGTCATAATTCAAAAAGAGTAAAATAAGTGTTGGTGAGGAGGTGTCAAAATGGGAACCCTCGTACGACCATGGTGGAATGTAAAATGGTGCAGCTGCTGAGGAAACGTTTGGTGGTTCCTCAGAAAGTTCAAGAGAACTAGCACACGACCCAGTAATTCTACTCCATGGTATATGCACTCAAGAATTGAAAAACAGGGACACAAACATTCATAGTAGCACTAGTCACAATAACTAATGGTAGAACGAATCCACATGTTCATCAACAGAGTGAATGGGTAACTGAGTATACACACTTAATTGAAACTTATCCTGCTATAGAAAGGAATTAAGTACTGATACATGTATAATGTGGGTAATCCTCAAGGAATGTGTTCAATGAAGAAACCAAACACAAATCAAACATTTTGTGTGATTCCATTTATTTGAAGTATCCAGAATTGGCCAATCTATAGAAACAGAAAGCAGACTGGCGGTTCCCCGGGGCAAGAGGGAGAAGGAAATGGGAAGAAAATTTATTTAATGTGCAGGGTTTTATTTTGGCATGATGAGACTATTTGGAAACTGGATAGAAGTGGCAATAGAACATTGTGAATGCACTAAATACTACTTAATTGTTCACTTTACATAATAATTCATGTAACAAAATTCATAATAATAGTGCTATTATGAATTTTGTTACATGAATGATAAAATTAAAACCAAGCAAAAAGAACCTTCAAACTCCTGGAAATTACCCTTCTTTCACTAGATGTTAGAATTCTCATCTGGTTTGGTTAGTATGTATAAAATGTAGAGAAATTAAGGGTGGCACTTATATAAGGCAGTACTTTTCTGGGTCTGCCTTAGGCAATTTAGTGGACTTTAGCACCATTTATGAAATAGAACATGCCAGCTAAAGGAAGATTGGGAGGTGAAATTAGTTTTGTTTGGGACCCGTGTTTTGCAATCTGAGTGGAAACGACAAATCTTTTGAGTCTAGAATTCAGGGGAAAGGAAAGAGTCATCCCTGTGTTATCACAATTGTATTCTTGAATATTTTGGAGGAAAGGGACTTTTCTTATTTCAATATTTGTCAAGTAACAACAAAGATATGAAGAGAAGATACGTATTCTGATTTTACTGGTGGTCTAAGCATCTGAACACAGTTTACAGGTGACCACATGATCTGACATTCTCAGCTATAATCTGATTTATGCCTGTTGTCCCCTTTAAATTAATATCACTTGTTCATGCTCAAAAACATCTCTGTACAATAAATTATGTGGTCACTCTATGTAGAAGAGGAAAAATGAAATGTAATTCTTTCAGTATAGTGGCAGGTATACCAGGCTTAAAACATATCTTGGCAATTAAGGAATACCATACACAGGAATAAATTAACTACTTACTTTCAGAAATCCCAAACCTTATTTCAAATATAGTATGGGAGAGAATCTTTTGTTCTTAGGCCTCAAGCAAAGAATAACCACATTTCCTTCCTTTCTCTTCCATTTTATGTGATCACAGACGTTCTCGCTTTTCTTTCCATGCAAACATGCATTTTATGACATTGGAGAGAGTTGGCCATGTTTTCCTTAGTATCTCAGGAGAACAATAACATCTCCAGATCCTCAAATAGGGTACTGTTCTAGCTTACTCAAAAAGTCTTGTGCTAACTAGGAGTGAAGTAAAATTAAGTAACTGAAGATGTAATTCTAACTGCTGTGCAACACAAGCTTGTGATAATACTCTAATGTAACTTCTGCTTGCTTAACAAAATAAACCCAAGTCCAAGAAAATATGATTTAAGATTGACAAGCAAGTATAAAAAGATAGATTCCCATCCCCAAAAAAGAGACTTACAGAGTTTTAAAAAGCATATTTATGTGTCTGCACATAAATGTTTGTGTAAAAAGGGCATTATGACAGTTGATACCACAAAGATTACAGTAAGAAAAAGCACTTTATGACAATATTTCACAAATTCACAAGAATCACTTTAATATACAAAGCAATTGCTACCATTCTGAACACAAAGCAGCTACTATGTACATAGTGTTAATAAAATGCATTGTAACTCAGTACATTTTTTCTTTACACATAAAGCACAAAAAGATTTAGATAAAAAATTAAAACAGGGATGTTTTTAGAATGTAGGGAATCTTATATTTACTTAGTATTCAACTCCAATAGAAACATCAGAGCTAAAAATTGATACCCTGTTTTGTGCTGATAGTTTTTGGGGAGGTATTCTTTACACTAATCCTCAAGGAAAAAACAAAAAACCAAACACTCCAAACACCTTTCTAGGAACTTCCCTGGTTATTCTGTTTCTAAAAAGTTTCAAGGGATGCATCTGGGTTAGAAATAATTCCTTTTGCTGGAAGGGGAAGGGAGGATTACAAGGGATGCATAAAAATCAGTCAAGGACAACTTCACAATGGAAAATTGCTAACTAGCACTCTTCTTTGCCACCCCTAATAAATCTATACTCACAGAAAAATGTTGACAAATTATTTCCCACTTTTAATATAAATAATTTTATTACATACACATTGGAGTGGCAACCTGGATAAAAATATGTCTATAAAGCATTTACCAATTCAATTTTTAAAACGTAAG